TCTGAGTTCAATCCCTAGTTCTGGAAAAAAAAAAAAAAAAAAGTAGCTGAAGATGTAGCTCAGTGTAGAAGATTCAACCCCAGCACTGCCAATAAATAAATAATAAAGTCAGGCTCTGGCCTTACACCATATAGAAAAACTAACTCAAAATAGATTTTTATTTATTTAGTGGAACCGGGGATTAGAACTCAGGCCCTTGCGCTTGCCAGGGAAGTGCTTATTCCACTGAGCCATCTCCCCAGCCCTCAAAATAGATTTTGAAAACCCGAATGTAAAACCAAAAACTAAAACTCACAGAAGAAAACAAACATTCATTGCCGCGTGTCCTGCTGCTCGTCCCTGGACTAGGCAGTGATTTCTTGACTGCGGTATCTGAAGCACAGGCAACACAGATAAATGGAATTTTATCAAAAGTAAAAGCTTCTGTGAGTCCAAGGCCACAATCAATGAAATAAAAAGGCAGCTGGGTGTGACACGTGTCCCTGATCCCAGCACCCTGAAGGCTGCAGCAGGAGGATCGCTGCAAGCTCAAGGCCAGCCGGCGCTACATAGTGAGTTGAAGGCCAGCCTGAGCTGCAAAGTAAGACTCTGTCTCAAAAAATCCCCCCAAAAAATAAATACAGAGAAGAAAAATAAAAAGCAGCCAGCCTGGACTATGTAATAAGACCCTTTCTCTAGAAATAAATAGACAATAAAGTGAAAAGGTGACCTGCAACAGAGGACAAGGCTGGAGGTGGAGCACGCGCCTAGCATGCAAATACCTTGGGACGCATCCCCAGCACCAAAATAAAGCAAAGGAAAAAGCATCGCGAGACCCTCACTAAAAAAAGTGTAGCTTCTCAGGCCGGGTGGAGAGGGAGCTCAGCTGTGTGTGCGACCTGCAAGGCCCTGGCCGCCTCCAGAAACAGGAGGAAAAAGAAACGCTGTTCTCACCCTGCTGAACCGGAGTGAAAGGGGGCACAGTGTGTGTGGATCAAGCCCTTGGATGCCAGTGCACAAGAGCAAAACCCGGGCCTCAACAGTACGGAGTGCAAGAGGGGCCGTCCCAGGCCAGACCCCAGGAGCTTGAGTCCTGGCTCTGCCACCTGCAAGCAGATGGCAATGAGGATAGGCTGGCAAGGTCGCTGTGAGATGCCTGGCACAAAACTTAAAGGGTGGGGCCGGGGAGATGGCTCAGTAGGCTAAGCGCTTGACTGGCAAATGCAGGGATCTGAGTTCAATCCCCGGTTCCGCCAAAAAACAACAACAACAAAACTTAAAGAGTATTGGTCGTGCCTTTTTGTTTTGTGTTTTGTTGTTTTGTTGTTGGTGGTGGTCTTTTTGAGATAGGGTCTCATTATGCAGTGCAGGCTGGCCTTGAGCCCACTTTGTAGCCCAGGCTAGTCTGAAACTTACAACGATCCTCCTGCTTCAGCCTCCCAAGTGCTGGGATTACGAGGAACCTGCCACCATGCCCCCCGGCCTTATTTTTTTGAGACAGAGGCTTCATATATCCTTAAGGCTAGACTTGAACTCAAGTAGCCCAGTTAAAAAGTATTTTATAAGAATGGTGCAAAGGTTGCTTAATTGTGTCCGCTTGAGTAAGCAGCGCCCACCCAGATTGGCTCAGCGTGGTCCCCAGTGGGGACCCACCCCAGGGAGGATGTCACCAGAACGGTACTAAGGAGAAAGGAAGAAGCAAGGATCGCTGTTTGCTTGGGAGGAGCTCCAGTCTGCGCTCCCATCTTGGACGCCGTCTCCTGGCTTCCAGAGCAGACTTCACCCCGAAGCACCGACCCTTCTGCCTCCTGCTACGGACTCATCCGGGACACAGAAAAGAGCTCCAAGCCTTCGACCTCTTGCACTCTTTGACACCAGACTCCGGGCAGCCGCCGTAAGCCAGTCTGTAACTTGTTGTATATTTGTATAGTTCGTGTTAAGTCTTTTCTCTCGTAAGCACTGATGCTCACGCTGGCTGGGCTGGCACAGGCCTGCAATCCCAGCACTGAGGAGGCTGAGGCAGGAGGATCGCCTAGACCCTTTCTCAAACAAAACAGAAGGAAACACAAATAAGAGAAGCTGGGTGTGGTGCTACACGCCTGTAATCCCTGCAGTCCCGCAACTGAGGCAGCAGGAACCTTGTGAGTTCGAGACTAGCCTACGCTACAAAGTGAGCTCAAGGCGGGCCTGAACTCCATAGTGGGACTCTTCCCAAAAAGACAATCAATCAATCAATCAATCAATCAATCAATCAATCCAAAAGTGCTAAGAATATATCATCATATGAAGTTTAAAAATAATTTCAACAAGACTTCCCCTTTGAGGGGCTGGGGAGTTAGCTCAGTGGAATAAGTGCTTCCCTGGCAAGCGCAAGGGCCTGAGTTCAATCCCCAGTTCCACAAAAAAAAAAAAAAAAAAAAGACTTCCCCTTTGAGAGTTAAGGCAGGCAGGGAAGGAGTGAAACGGAAATCAGAAGTCAGTGGGTGGCTTCTCAGTAATAAAAATGGACCCGTAGAGGTTAAGGCATCAGAGTCACAAACAGGAAAGTTCCGCTGGGGATCTTTGGGGTCCTGTGTGCCCAGAGTGGAGCGTCAGGGTCC